TCGAAATTTGTTTTTTTTTTCATCTTCCAATTGAACTTTTCATCAATTACAATTACACCTCATCAACATGACCATCTCTTCATGGTAAAACCTAAATTAATTGAACTTTTAATTCATGTTAATAATTTTCATCTCACTGAATTCATGATATGAAAATTTTCGGTTAATATGCAAATTAATCATATGAAAATTCATGGTTCCTGTTAATCAGCTGATGGTTTTAATTTTAACCAGAAAAACACCAAGAAAAGCAAGAAAAAAGTTCAGAAGCTGAAAAAAAAACGACAAACTTGTTTATTAACATCAATTAACATGATGATGATAATTATTAGCTAAAAATGATTATCACTACGATTATCATTCACCATTATGATAGTAATTAAATGCAACAATTAACATTTACCATTTGATAGTTTAAATCATGTAATCAACTTATTCTGACCGATTCTGGTTTCTGTTAATTACTAATCAACCAAAACCTTTGGGTTAAAAACTGTTAATGTTGATACATTTTTTTTTGTATTTCTTGTTAATTGTTGCTAATTACTTTTAATTGTTACAAATTGTTTCTTCTAATTAATTGTAACATCAAAATACTATCACATTTACTGTCAATTGTCTTCCTGTAATTTGTCAATTTATTCAAATTGTGATAATTTTATCAACAGGAACAGCAGCAAAATAAAAACATTTGACAATCAACAAATTGCAAATTGCAATTAGTTGATTATTAGTCTATGTCTTATTGTTATACTTATCAATCTGTAATTTGGTTAAATTGTTACAATTACTATTATTACTGTTATTGAATTTTTTTTATCCAATAAAAGTTATTGGTTCAAAATTTATCAATTAAATTGTACTTTTGTCTGGATGATGTTAATCATTCAGCAATTTAATCATCATCATCATGATTAAGAGATTGAAAGGAAAATCAAATTGTTTGCCAATATGAAGTAGTCAAGAAATACAAATTAAATCATATTTCAATCAACACAATCAGGATTTAGTGTTGATCATGATTGTAAATCTAAATTTGATTGCAATTTGATTTCCATCATCATCATCATCATGCTACATGTAAGTGTTATGATAATAATGATAATTTCACCTTTTGTTACCTGGATCCTATTAGCATGTATTTGGAAGCTGAATTCAGGTGAAAAAAGGTAAAAGTTGAAAAAAAAACTTTCTATTGGTCATTTAAAGGTCCACTTTTTTTTTGCTAGGTAATCAACAGGAGCAACAATGATGATAATAATACTCATGATGATGATGATGATCATCATCATAATAATAACAAGGTTTACATGTTGAACTGAAAATACCCTGCGGATGTTATTTACATGTCGTCCACCATCACTAAACATCATTCACATTTTACTATTGCAAATGCTTCAGGCCAAAAACTTCATCTTCATCTTCATCTCTCCATCCTCATCATCTTCATCTTTAGATGTGAGTGTTTTTTTTGCAATATAATCTTTTCCTTTTTAGCAAAACAATTTCACCTTTTAGTTTATGCTTTCAGTTACTTTACCCGACTTTCTGCTCGAGCCAAAGCTTGACCAGTGTGACCATAGACCATCTTCTGGTCACAGGTCACTCTAGGTCAGCCTTTTTCCCCTTCCTTTCTCTCTCTCTCTCTCTTATAACCTACTGTTTTCTTCCCATTGGTTACCCGTTTACCTTTGGTTTTCCTTTTTTCTTTCGTTTCTTTCCACTTCCTCTCTTTTTCTTCTTCACTTTTTCTTCTTCATCTCTACTTTCCCTCCTTCTCCTTCTTCTCATCCTCCAATTCTTCCCCTATCATCATCTTCATCATTCTTATCTTCTTGTTCCTCTCATCTTTGTTTTCTTCTTGATTATTTACCTTCTTCCGCTTATTATCATCATGATTATGGTTAAGATTAAAGTTATTATTTGGTTAACTTGTCAAAGGAACAAAATCCTTATCAAACTCAAGTCTCTTTCTTTTCCCAATGTTTAGCAAAGGAACAAGCAGAAAGAATAAAAAATAAACTCTCTTTCTCTATGTAAGAACATTAAATCTCTTTTTTTTTCGAAAAAATTTTTCTTCTCTTTTCATCTTCATCTTCCTTTTATCTTCTTTCTCTCTCTTTCTCTCCCGAAGAAACATTATTCTAATTCTTTCAACCCACTTTCTATAAAACCATCATCATCATCATCTCTTCATCATCTTCGCATCTTCTTCATCTCTCTCTCTCTCTCTCTCTCTCTCTCTCTCTCTCTCTCTCTCTCTCTCTCTCTCTCTGAGCTACTTTGGTTGAGTTACTTTCTTTTTTTCCTATTCAGTTTCCAATCTCTTATACTTTGGTGTTGAATCTTTTGGCTTCACCACTTGAAACTTTCTCGTTGAAATTTTTCCTGAAGAAAAAAATTTTCCCACCTCCCACTATCTACTCATCTTCTTCATGATACCAATCATTATCTTCCTCCTCATCATCATCATCATCATCATAATCATCATTTGATAGAAACACAAAGACAATGGATCAATATTATTACCTCACTAATGATGTAATAATAATTTCCAATTCCAAGTAAACCCTTGAAATTGCAAATGATTTACAATTCATTCTGATGATTAGTTAATTATTTTCTAATTAACGTTTCAATTAACCAAATTATCATATTGGTTAATAATTTATCCTACTCACAATCTATTTACAGTTACAATTATAAACTCTTTCCAAACTGATTGTAGTTATCGGTTCTCGTTTAGTATCTGAATACATTGATTGTCAAGTTGATTAATTATCAATTTCAAATGATTAACTTAATCAATGTCCTGTTGCTTTAAGTAAATTGTTATAATCATTATCTAATAACAGTATATTTATTATTTGAAAGACAATAAGTAAAAAAAATCAGATACAATTGTCAAGTTGATTATTTGATTTAATCAATTGTGTCAAAAACTAACAATTACTTTTAATTGTTATTAGTTAAACAGAGTATCATTATTGTAGACAAAATAACAATTAAATTAAGTATTAAACATTTGATAAGAAACTTTAAATGGTTCATCAGATGGAAAATCAATTAAATTAAATTAAATTGCTTCTGATCACTTCATGATTGATTTAATCACATTTAATAACAATTAACTAGTTTCATTGATCATCATGATAATCAATAAATACAATAAATATGATATCTGATTGTTATGGATCATTAATCAAAAAGTTAAACGTTGATGATCATTTGAATAAAACATTAACAATTAACGGTAATAATAATAATAATCATTATCCATCATCATCATCATCATCAATGATTACAATTTAAATTTCACTTGATTACAATTTACAAATTGCAATTGAGATTTTATTTGAAAACTTAATCCAATCAAATGATGAGGTAAAGTAAAAAGTATATCCAATAATAAATAATAATAAATTGATATCATTTTTATATCTGATCAACATATGATAAAGGATGAGGATGCTGATGAAGATGAAGGATGATAACAATGTGGATGATAAATTCAAATGTACAATGTATTGTCAATAATTGAAGATAAATCTTGATTCGTCTTCCTCATCATCTGTTTGTTTTTTTTCCTCCTCTTCTATTGTTCATTTGCCTCAAGAGATACACTTTCCCTCTGTTGCTTTTTTTAGTGTTTTCATCCACCATCAACACCACCTCATCCTCATCCTCATCCTCATCCTCATCCTCATCTTCATCCTCATCTTCATCTCCTTTATCCACCCACTTTCCACCCTCATCCTCATCTTCTTGATTACAATTTTATTTGTTTTGTCCTTTTTTTTGCATCAATTTTCAATTGGAAAGATCTGAAAACCCATTTCCCTCTATTGCTACCAAACCACCTCTTCAATCTGATAATCATCATTATTATCATCCTCATCTCCATCCTCATCCTTACTTATCATTAAGCTTTTATCCATGTTGTTGTTGTTGTTGTTGTTGTTGTTGTTGTAAGTTTTACAATGATGGTGATGATGCTGATGATTTGAATGACCAATTGTAATGGTCGTGTCTGGGTGTGGTTACAAACATGGCTGTTTGTGTGTCTTATCAGTTTTGTGTATAAATTGTTGACATTGACCATCAACCATTTAGGGAAGTGGACACACAGGATGACATAAAATAAGGTCAATTACAAAATGTTATTTTCTCTTCATTTTTTTTTTACTATTATTGTTTGTTAACAGAAAAGTATAAAATTATTTCCCTATTTCTGGATCATATGGTCAACTATTATCATTTTATGTTGTTACTGTGTTTCTTTTGGTCATTTGTTTGGTCAAACATAATATTAAATATATAAATTGAACAACGATGAAGATAATTGTGATGATAACATTGATTGTTGTGCTTTTTTTAAAAAATCTGACATAATAATTAATGATAACATTATAATTCAATCTGTTGACTTTGGATGTGTTTTTTTCTTGTTTGCTGTTGGTAAAATGAACGATGTCTTAATTGTTTTCGCTTAATTGTTGTTGGTTGATTGCAAATTGTAACAATTTGCATATTACAGTTATTTTGAATTTCCAGAGAAAATTTCTCTCTCTCTCTCTCTCTCTCTCTCTCTCTCTTTCTTTCTTTCTCTCTTATAAGAATGTTAAGTATTCGCAAGGGATGAAGATGATGAAGATGAAGAAAAGATTGATTAGAATGAATTGAAAAGATTGTAGGTCATCATCTTTGTAGAAATTTACAGATGAATTGATGAGAAAAAAAAGAAATGAGAAGATGAAACTGTAAAAGGAAAGAATCATTTTAAATAATGGTCAAAGGAGAGAAAGAGGTTTTCGAGATGATGATAATATGGATGAAGAAGATAAAGAGAGAGAGAGAGAGAGATGATAAGATGCTTTAAGACACAAGAAGTTATGTGATTTTTAGGTGAGAGCAGATGATGAGGATGCGGATACAGAATCACAAGTAAAGTTGCTTGGTGAATGTATGTATATCTTTTTACGTTTTTTTCTTTCTCTCTCTCTCTCTCTCTCTCTCTTTATCTTCTTCAACTTGCTTTTCTCCCTCTTTCTCACTCATGATGATCATCTTCTTTTCATCATCATCTTGTTTTACTTCTTCACCTTCTTTTCTTTTTCTCCTTCACTTTTGGTGAGTTTCTCTTATTCTGGTGAACGGAAATGCTCAGTGAGCGTATCAAGAATCTTTTCCACTTCAAATGTTGTTAGCGTAACAGGTAATTGGTTCTTCTTCATCTTCTTCTTCTTCTTCTTCTTCTTAAAGATGAAGAGAAAGAAGAAAATGATGATGATGATGAAGAAAAAATATCAAAGTTAAATACATACAAGTCGCTCTCTCTCTCTCTCTCTCTCTCTCTCTCGCCATCATCAAACGCTCTTTCCACCTCTGGAGTTTCCTCTTCAATCCATAGTTTTTTTCTTCTTCTTTCTTACCTGTAATCGTTTAGAAAGAATTTTTTTTCTCTCTCTTTATTTCTTTCTCTTTTCTTTCGCTCACCTTTTTACCTTCTTCTCCTCCCTCTTTTGCAAAGGTCATTAAAAAACACACATTGCAAAAAAAACGGAATAATATTGTTACCAGTAGTAGTGCCAGAGAACTGCAATGAAAATGTAATAACCTGTTGTGACCCGAGGGTCAATATCATTGTCCGAAGTCAATTTGTGCAACTTTTGTTACTATTTTTCGTCCTTTGTTTATCCATTGGACTTTTTGATACATTTAATGAAATTTTGGGTTACCATGTATATATATTTACGTTGATATGTGTACATATATTTAAGCATTAGGGACGGGGAGGGTAAGGTTTGTGCACCATTTGATATGGTTTTTAATGTCATATTAAATTTTGATGGTTTTTTTCAAAGGTTCAACTTTATTTCTGCCCCTTAACATACATAACCATTTACCTTGATCTTTTTTGATTGTTACCCTTGATTGTTGTAGTTTAAATTGATGAATGGTAAATTCAATGTGAATGGTAACCTCGTATCACTAGAGAGAGAGAGAGAGAGAGGAGAGATGAACACAAAAGACTCTTGACTGGGTGAAAGAGAAGAGAAAAAGAGAGAATTTTAAACTCACCTTAAGATTATCGAGTTCTTTGTTCATAAAAGATGATATTTTGTTCTGATATTTGTATAACTTTTTCTTGAAGATTTTCTCTTCTTTGCCTTCAGGTCATCTAATATTATTTTGCCTTCTCGTCTACATCATCATCATCATTCTCTTCATCTTCTTCATCTTCTTCATCGCCTTTTTCTTCTATATTTCTCTTTTTCTTTCGCTCACTCCATCATCATCATCTTCTTTGCTATTGCTCCCTTAATGGATTAACCTTGGATTTTGAACAAGTTTTTCTCTTCTCTCTCTCTCTCTCTCTCTCTCTCTCTCTCTCTCTCTCTCTTTGCTGAATTACTTTTCATGTGGATTCTTTGGTTAGGGTTCTATGAATTTTCTTGTTATCTATCTTTCTCTTTTTCTCCCACTTTCTTTATAATAACTTTGTTCTTCTGGACATTATTTGCAATATGAATAAAGAAAAATATTATCAGATCGAAAATGTTGCTTCTTTTTCTTTTGTTCCTTACAAACGATCGTGATCATTAGCTAATAGATAAGATCAATAATGTTATCAATTATTTTCGATCTTTTTATCCAATTTTCCTTCTCATACACTAGATGGCAGCACTAATATCGAATTTTCAACTAACATCTCAGTTTGGTTTCAATCCGAAACACTAGATGGAGACTTTGTCTGCGCTCTCCTCAAACTTTTCCTTTTAAATTTGGACTTTTAAAATGCTAACGAAGTGACCGCTTACAAACTTGGACTTTAATTCGTATGAAGATTTAAGTCTAAAGGGGATGAGACTAATTTTCTCAATCGGTTGTCTAAATTTTGGTTCCTTATTAACATTTTTTTCTCAATTATTAAAAATTCACCAATCAGATCCTCTTGTAGGTCATTTTAACGGGAATTTTAAAGCTCACACTTAAATAATACTATTAACCAGGCCATCTAATAGATGGCACCTAATGGACTTTTAAATGGATTCGAAGGTAATTTTTTCGTCAATCGATCTAATCGAAAGGTGATCGAATAAAACTTTTACAAGTCTTTTCCGTTTAGAATCGAAGCTTTCGATTATGAACATAAATTCGTATCCATTGAAATCGATCAAAAGAAAACGAACCGATTAAATCTCGATCAAAAGACAAGAGCAAATATTATATTCCAATTTCATAAGTTTCGATCAAAAATTTCCAATCAATCGAAATTAATTATAACCAACAGTCTTCTAATAAAATCTCCAATCCAACAACCAATTAATTGAAACAATTTAAAGAGTAATAATTAATCAGATAGATTATCATGTTAAACTTAATCATCAACAAACGGAGGGAAACAAAATTGAAAAAGATTAAGGTGATTATGTTAATCGCTATGAGCCCATTTCCGCCCAATTTGTTATTTAACTTACATAATAAATATCGTAACAATTTCTTATCCATAAATACATAATATACGAAATATTTATCTTCCTCTCTTCATCATCATCATCATCTTCCCATTATATTATTACATTACCCGAAAGGAACCTCGGGTGTGATCAGTTTAAAGAGAAACGGAAGTTACTGGGATAAGGGTGGACTTCATTTCCGCCCAAAAGGAAATGTTTTCATTTTCTTAGTTGTTGGAAGGTGAAGGAAAAAAGTTCTAATGTACCAAAGTCTTAAAGGCATGAATCTTAACAGGGAAAATATATACAGACACATACATCGAATCGTTAATTGTCAACAATCAAGAAATAGGGAAAACAAAGTTAGTTTGTTTTTCCCATTGTTCCGATTTGATGATTTTCTCGTTACGAAGATACAAAAACAAGAAGGTTAATCAACACACTCACAGGTAAGCAACCAAGGTAATCAAAAGCCACCAAATGATTACTTTTTTTTCTCAGTGATTGTTGTTTGTCACCAACAAAATTAACTAACTAACTGATCCATAGACTTATAATCATAAGATTATCATATGTACTAATATTTATGATTATCTTGGTGGATGAACAAGTCAAATCCTATTAGTATTTTCACATAACAACCCTGAATCTCAGGGTGAGTATTCATTATGTTAGTGGAAAGATAATCTCTTCATGAGAATCATTTTTTCATCCTCATCTTTCCATAGCATGTAAATTGTTTGTTCACACAATTAATTGAATATTATCATTGAAGATTAGCAACTGATGATTGAAATTTTGCAAAAAGTGACCGTAAGGTTAACATAAAATGAACAAGATCAGCGACAATCGTTTCTTACTTGAACCAAACAAATTGTAAGTATAACAATCAACTTTTCAAACCAAAACATCACTAATTAAGATGAAAGGTAACTTGGTATCGAGTTGGTTCAACAATTAACTGACCAGATTCAATTAAAGCCAAAGGAAAAGAGGAATCATCTTCCTGAATAATTGTCCGATTGCACCATAATTGATTATCGTTTAATGGTAAATTGATTTACCATCAATCAGGTCAACTTTATCATCGGGATAGGATTTTGACGTAGCGTTTCCCATCTCTGTCCGTCTACCGCAGGGAATTACAATCCTGGTACCCAGCATTTGATAAAATGGACTCCAATTTCTTGAGCTTGACCATTTAAATTGTCAGTATTTCCAATATCAAATTGTAACCTTTCACCAGTCTAAGGCACTTAAATCACTTGAGCATTTGCCCTTACAGTTCATACTTGATGATTGAATTGATTTGATTAAAATCAATTGTATCAAAAGAAATGAAAATATTACTTGAAAAAAACTTATTCATTTTTGAAGTTTATTTTTTGTCACAATTACTAAATAATTACTATTTTCTGTTAATTGTAGCTGCAATTTATGTATTCATGTTATTATTATTAAATCACAATCTAATTTAAATCAGTGTTTAGTGATTTGATTCAGTAATCAAAAAAGTAACAGCAAATACTTCAATTATTTTGACTAATCACTAAGACAATAGATAGATAATCAATACATGAACATAATTGTAATCTAATTGCAATCAAATCAGTAACCAATAATCAATCAATAAACTAATATTGACAATTTGATAAGCAATCATGAGTTTTGATCATCATTGAACTTTGTTTAGATCTATTAATTAAATCAACTATGAATAAAAAAAAATAGTAAAAATAATTACTAATCTTTCGAGTACAATTACAAGGAAACCAATATATTTAATCACTCTGTTAGTTGATTGATTATTGATCACTGAATTGAAACAATTGATTAATATTGATAAAGAAATGAAAACAATGATTATCATTTAATGAAAAAAAAAACCTAAATGATTATTTGGAATCAGAATTTTTCTTTGTCTTTTTATCAAAATTAACCAGAATTTTCTGATGGTGATTCATTTAATATCGAAGATCATAATTGAGTGTAACTGTGAATATTCAATTTTATTGCGTATTTAGATGTTAATTGTGTTGACACAATTTCAGTTATTATATTATTATCTTGCTAATTGTTGAATTAGTAAATAGCTGTGAACTTTTCTCCAATGGATATAAACCAATTCTGTTTACAATTAAATGATGTTTATATTATTATGAATGTTGAGATATCGAAAATTTTGAAATTTCTGTAGTAAATATTAGTAATTCGGTTTGATTCTATTCATGAAAATCATATGGCCTTATGGTTGGCATCGGGTAGCGATTATATCGTAAAGGTGAACCGAAGACACAGAGCCAGATGTTTATTGTCGTGTGTTAGGCCTTGGACGATGTCGATGTACTTCTTATGGCTCGTGTCCTCCGGCTCATGGCCTCATGTCTCTTCGAGGCCATTCAATTGTAAAAGACTCCAACTTCTGGTCTCTCTCTCTCTCTCTGGTCAGATACTTGCTCAGCTGTTGATTGGTATCATTGTGATGGACACACAGAGGTTGTTTTCATTATCTAATGACCATCGCCATCTTCAAGGTTTGGTCAATTTCGAGTTACCAAAGAAGTTAATGTGACGATTGTATTTATTTGAACTGAAAAATGAGGATACAGCTCGAGAGGTTATAAAACCTCTAGGTAACCTTCAATGATTACCTCCCTATCATTTTACAGTTATAAGTTGAGGTTACATTTATAATTATTATTCATTTTTTATATACAATAGATTAAATATTATTAATAATTAGTCTTTAGTCCAAGTGATTTGTCCAATTTGTTTTTTGATTCCTTATCCATGGTAAGATTCAAATCGATTCCTTTTTCTGGTTTTCAATTCAATATAATGGTGGGTTCCAATTTGATTCACTCATCATTATTACGAGATCATAATTATTAATAGTAAAAGTTAGAAGAGAGAAAATATTAAAACAAAAACGGAAGTAATAGATTAACTGAGTACTAATTGATCAGTATTGTTGATAAATTTCAATTTTTTCTTTGTTTTAATTTTTTATTCTTTTCCCTGTGAGGGAATCAGTCTTTTGTCTACGGGAACTTTAGCTCCCTCAGTCTTTTTTTAAGGTCACTCGTTAGAGCTAATTTGTTTATTAAGAAAACTCAATTAAGAGTTAATTAGATTAGTTATTAATAATAATAGTATTAGTATTGATTGTCAAGTACCTGTTTATTTTTTTAAAACGTGGTATTTCAAAGTCTTACCCTTGACCATCCTTGAAGAGATTCAGAAAACCCAATGACCATTTCAATAAATTTAATTTCATCTTAACTGAATCAGTTCACAGTCACAAATTTAAGAATAATTAAATTGATGAATTAATAACAATATTAATTTTAATTGTTCACATAGTTAAATTAACATGATGAAAAAAGCACATGTAATAGAGGTAGTTTTTATGTTCACTCTTCAAAGACTCAGTAACATCAGAAAGTGAATCTGAAATTGAGATTTTATTTAATTTTGTTTTCTTATAATGTAAAATTGTTACATTGTTGATTTAAATTATTTGTAGATAATCAATTAGAGTGCAAATTTTAAGATTACAATTGATTATCTCTTTGGCTGAGTGCAAGTCTTGTATCTAAACAATTAAGATTACCAATTAAAACTGTTTACTTGTTACAGACATGAGAGATGTCATTGAACAATCAACAAGACTGTGATTAGATTATTGTTAAGTTAAATTGTTTCAAGTCTAAACAAGATTAAAAATTAATACTTTCTAATACAATTGGATCAAATAATGATAAGTTGATGTTAATTGTACTGATTAACAATTGTTTGTTATGTTGTCTTATACTTGGTTGTTGTCTAATGAAAATTACAGTTACAGTTAGTGCATTATTGCTAACTAGTCACCATAATGATTGATATAATTAGACATTAATTGTGTATGAACCTTGAGAAACTCAGGTCAAGGTGAAATGTCATTATCGTGTTATCATGATTGAACTTGGCATCGAATTGAAAAATAAGTTACTTCATAACAAGAAAAGAACATGAAATTGTCAAGAACTTTGAATTATCAATGGAAATGAAAGTTTTGTTTACAAAAAGAATGGGAAACGGAAGTTATTTTAAGATATTCTTCTAGTGTAGGAATGAAGATAAAAATAGTAACATGAAGAGATGAAGATGAAAGATTAAGAGCAGAGAGAGAGAGAGAGAGAGAGAGAGATGATTATCTTCATCATCTTTGCATGAAAATGTTGTAAACAAAACCTTGAATTCTTGATACTTCAACAAAGATTGTTAATTGTTACAGAGTTAAAGACAATAATTAAATTTCACCATGTGAATGATTAATTGTTTTATTGAGAGAGAGAGAGAGAGACATTTAATCATTAAGATTATCTCATTTTCAAGTGTAATTTACAATTTGTTGGCATTAGTTTATTGAGTTGAATATGAGACTGAATAATTTCATGAGTATTTACAATCAATTGATTAAGTCTTGGAATCAATTGAATTAACAATGATTAGACTTTTGTTGCTCTTCATCTGATCATTGTTATCATCGTGTTGATGTCAAATTGATTGTTGATTATAATGTGGAAGCCATTTGGCAAGAAAGTAGCTCATCAATAATCAACAAACAATAATAATCATTCAATTGATTAGTATTGGAAGCTGGATTATCATCAAGAAATAGGAAGATAAAGAAGATGGGGAAGAGTATAAAGATTATGTTAAATAAGGAGAAAAGGAGCCATGATTAAAGGAAAAGAAGAAGAAGATGAGGATGAGGATGGAGAAGAAGATGAAGATCAAGATGATGATGATGAAGAAGAAGAAGAGGATAAAAGAGGGTTAAGAAAGAGGAGGTGGGCCACGAGCCACAAAAATCGGAAGCTGTTAACACAGAAGATCAACAAAAAGATGAAGAAAGAATAAAAAGAAAGAAAAATGAGAGAGAAAAAGAGAAAGAGAGAGAAAAGATAAAGGCAGATGTCATGTTATTATTATCGCTATTGAGCAAATGTTATACGAACTCGCGTGGCACGCGTTAAGTCATTAAGACTCTGAACAGACGTCGTTTTTGATGATCGACCAGAGCCACGCGACCAAAAGGCCTCAAAGGTAAAGGCGCAGTGAAGATGAAGGGAGATGCTAATGTAACAAGAGGAGAACGAGAAGAGAGAGAGAGGAAAAACTGGCCTGATGAACAACAGCCGCTGAAAGAGCTAAGAGTTTGTAAGGAAGTGAGAGAGAGAGAGATGATAATGATGATGAAGGAAATTCTCTCTCTCTCTCTTCTTTTCTCTATGGCATATGGTATACATCCGTCGGTCTCTCTTTCTTTTTCTCTTTCTGCTCTTTCTTATTAGATCTTTTATTCTCTTCTCCCTCATTTCCGATAATTTTCTCTTCCATTCATCTTTATCATCACACATGCGCTCCTTCTCATCCCTCATCACCTTCATCATCTCTTACTCTTCTTGATAGTGACTCGTTTCATTCACTTCTTAGTCTCTGCTCATGACGTGAACATCAAATCCACATTATTGTTAATTCAACATCTTAAACCTTTCTCTTAGTGTCTCTCTTTGTGCTAATACAACATTCGGATTACCAACACTTTATTGTTGTTATTTACTTGGAATTTGTGTTTACAATTAAATCAACCAATTCATCATGAAAATTCTGAAAAAAATCAAGAGTATAAGTAAGTAGAATCTCGACTTTATTGATTTTTGTCTTTACTATTTTGATATTTATCGATTTTCTCTCTCTCTCTCTCTCTCTTTTTCTGCCTCTTTCTCTGTGGTTGTGTTGTTATTACTTAAACGATTAGCTCGATGTCCTAAACATAAACAGGATAAATCGATAGCCAATCAACCAACTGCCCTTCATTTCCACCCTGTTCATGGAGATAATATCAGATTAACTGGAAACGGTTCAATTGCTGAGCGATTGGAAAGTTTTTGTGAAGGAATTGTTTTCTCATCTCGACCTGTTCGGGTTGATGAACCAGTTTCGATTAAATTTATGACCACTTCGACCAATTGGAATGGTGCATTACGATTTGGTTTCACCACAACTGACCCTTGTAAATTAAAGGGTCATCTTCCCAAATATGCTTGCCCTGAGTTAACCTCAAAACCAGGATTCTGGGCTAAAGCATTGAGTGACCGTTACGCTATTGTTGAAAATGTGTTGACCTATTGGACTGATGAATCAGGTAAATCCTATTACTCAGTTAATGGTGAGGACAAGGGTATTTTCCTCACCGAAGTGGACACAACTAAACCCTTCTGGGCTTTACTGGACATCTACGGATCTACAACTGCAATAAAATTTTTAGGTAAGCACCAAGTTAATCAAGAGCTAATCAATCAAATAACCTACTTGTAAATCCTATTAATTTAACTGACAATTTACCTGATGAAATTGAATCACCTTTCATTTATACAACAATCTAGAATTGGATGACCAGTGGTCATCAGCAGTTCTGTCAAAAGTGCCAAATAAATTTGTAAATCGTTAGACTTGATTTAATTCAATTCGTCAATCTAATTCTCATGGTTGATTATAATTATTTGAATGATTTTTTTTCCTGTTCACTTCGAAATCAACAAATCAGAACAGAACAATTAACTTGATAGTAGTTAAGTTTTTTGAGTAGTTACGAAGTTAAATCAGAAAGTGTGGAAACTTTAATTTGTTTTTATGGTTGAATGGATGATGATTATAATCATTGATGATGATGATGATGTCCAGTAATGATGATAATGTTTCGGTCAACATCCTACACAAATAACGATGAAACATTTTCAACGATCTTTCAGAAAAGAGCATTAATTTAGCTTCTCTCTCTTAGTAATCACATCCATCAACAAGAGGTGAGAGGATGAAGATAAAGATGAAGATGAAGATGAAGATGAAGAGGCGAAGAGGAAGATAGAAGAAGCAGAAAACAAAAATTAGGGCGAAATTTGGGAATTGAAGAGGAGGCTTGTAGAAAGGGCGTTGGCATGAGAGAGAGAGAGAGAGAAATGATAAAATGTTGATAACTCACCTGAGTAGGCGATAATCGATTATTGAATCAATTCCTAAATTCATTAGTCTTTTGCATGCAGAAAAAAAGTTTTTTTTTCCTCGGAAAAATATATCACCAAGATGATTATGATGATGGTCATCATGATGTTACAAAGGTATCAAAGTTGATGATTGAGAAAACGATTGAGACAATTTAAAATTGATCTTCAATAGAAACCAAGCCTCGATTCAATCTCATCTTTTCCTGTAAATATCTCAAATTTACCTGTGGCCTTGCCCATGGAAAGGCCAAACCTTGTCAGGTTTAATTTGTTATTTTCTTTGATGGATTTACCTTTAGATTTATTTTTCTATGAACTTTTTTATTATTATTATATAACTTTGAGCCTAACCTTTATTTTTATTTCCTCTCTCTCTCTCCCATAGATTCAAGGTATATCAGTAAAAACAGGTTAACCGAATCCATTTACTCATCAACTACTACTACTAATCATCAAATCTCATCATCATCATCATCATCTCCATCCGGTTCATCTTCCCTTGCTGAATATTCAACACTACGACGAATCTCATCCTCGGTCAACCGAGAACCTTTACCCCAAATCTATCGTGGTAATAACCTATTACCGTTACCTTTTCATAGGACCAGAGGATGTAATATGACTTTATCTAGTGATGGGTAAGTGTTTATTATCATCTTCTTAATGATACCACTTCCGTTTCATGTATTTATCATCATCATCTTGTTGTTCATCTTGAAATTATCAGAGGGGAAACTTAACCTTGTAAAATGATGCGATATTTATGTTTATTTGTTTTTCCTTTGCCCTTGATTTGGTGTCAAGGTTTCAAATGATGCGAAAGATGAAGATGAAGATGATGTGAGAACCTTGAATATGCAAATGAAAGAGAGAGAAAAATTCTCTTATCCTCACATTTCCATGGTTATCATCATGTTAGACAATGAAACGTTTGAAATGTTATTCGATATCTTTTCGGAATGAAACTAAATATCAATTTTCTTGTTTTTCTCTTTCTCACCTCAGGTCAACCGCTGAACGTTGTGATTCTCAATATTCAAGAGGTTATGTTTTCGCCCAACGACCTTTACGTTTAGGTGAAAAAATGATTATTCAAGTTCTTAAAACTGATGAACTTTACACCGGAAGTTTAGCCTTTGGCCTAACAACTTGTAATCCATCAACACTTAACACTGACGATTTACCTGATGATCCTCACATCCTACTTGATAGACCAGAATATTGGATTGTAATCAAGGATATTGCCAACAGGCCGATTGCCGGTGATGAAATTGCCTTTAAAATAACGGAAACAGGTCAAGTTATCATGACCAAAAATCGTCAACCACCAGTAACCTTAATGCACGTTGACCAATCTCAAAGTTTCTACCCTTTCTTTGATCTTTACGGAAGTACAATTAAAATTAAATCACTTGGTGTTATGTTACCTGAGAAAGTGATGAACATTAATAGTAACAAAGTGAACACAATGAAAGCTTCAAATCAAGTTAATCTTAGTCAATCAGTTACATCTAAATCCAATCATTATTATTCACCTAATCATCACTCACAGTCACGATTACCTAAGCAAAATTCAATGTTGACCAATAGGCAAAAGTGCTGGTCAACTTATGGATTATCATCAACTTCCTGTCCCTCTGAAAATAACTCAACCTTGACTAATCTAAGTCAATATCAATCAACATCAACTACAAGATTAACTGATTGTCGATCGATACCTTCAAGTCATTCAACTGGTAAGTTTTAATCTCTCTCTCTCTCTCTCTAATTTTCCTAATTATCTTTAATCTTATTGATGATTAACTAATCATTTCCTTTTTCCATCTTGTATTTTAATCATTAGGATCTCTTAATGTTGAATCAGAATGTACAGTTTGCTTTGAATCGCCAATTAATTGTGTCCTTTATACCTGTGGTCATATGTGTATGTGTTATGAATGTGCAGTTAAACAATGGAAAGGACAAAATGGTGGACGATGTCCAATTTGTCGAGCTCGTATTTTGGACGTTATCAGAACTTATTATGCATAAAAGACGAAAAAGAATTTGTTTTTTTTTTGGATATTCGATTCGCCAAAAAAAAAGTTTTGTTATGAATTTTGTTTTCCAAATATACACCGAAATCACCAGCATCGAGTCACCATCATCATCAATCATCTTGTTAGTCAGCATTATGATTCCAATGAAAGAGATTATCTGAACAGCTGATGAATAATCCTGATTACCACCCACATCATTAACTGATCACAATCAAATTTTCCAGCTAAAATCTAATCAAATATCATTAATATTCTGGTCCATTCAATTAGATCATCTCAACGCCTAAGATGTTAAGCAAAAGCAAAAGTCAATCAGATGATGAAGAAGCAAATTAAATCTAATCCAGTTTTCAATCATGTTGTTAATCCTCCATCCATACGGTTACAATTTTTTTTCCTTCGACGAAAAAACCCAAGTAACCTTTGAACTCTCTCTCCAAATTACCTTTAAAACCGTCCATTGGTCAGTCTAAATCTCATGATTTTCCCATAGCCAAGTGAAAACAACAACAACAAACCCTTAAGGGCAATTACATTTGTAACAAAGTTGTTAACCTAAAGTCGGGGAAAAAGTTTATCTATTGACCTTTTTATTTGAAAATGGTGGTAATGTTAATGGCGTTGGTGGTGGTGGCGAGGTTAACGAGGCGATGTCACTTTCATCACTACGCTATTATAAATAGTAAAACGGAAGTAGCTCCGGTCTCCACCTTAACGTGTTTTCTTATCCCTTGTAAACTTCCGTTGCGATACCTTGGTAAACTGATCCACACCCCGATCTTGCTTCTTATACTATTGATAAGGTACAAAAGGTACCAAATAATAACAATAATAACCTAAGAAAAGCAAGAGAAAAGATCACAATTCTAATATTATCCATAGAAAAACGGAAACAACGGTTTTCTAACTTTGCCATTTAAATACTAACAAAAATATTACAAAGGAAATGGACTTTATCTTCATCATCTCTCTTTCTCATTTCTCTTCTTCCTCGGAATCATAATCATCATCATCATCTCTCTCATACACACACACAAACACACACCTACACCCATTGGTTTCAATGTGAATTCACAAAGTCAACGAGAAAAACTATAAATTATCAAGAGAAAATTTTTTTATCTAATTTATCAATAACAAAGACTTTATATATTTTTTTCCCCTTCAATTCAAATGTTAAAACCAAAACTTTTTTTGTCTGAATCTCCATGTAAAAATATAACCTTACCTGTGTAAATATATTGAAAAAATTATCGCTCCATCATTGAAAATGATAATAGTTATTATATGGATAATAAATTATTGATTATAATTTTTTACTTGGAAAATTTTTTCTTTCAACTTTGTATCTTTTCCTGGGGATTGTTGTTGTTGATCATGAACCTTAATCATTAAGATGAACCCCAGGGGGAGGTGGGGGTGAGAGGTTGGGTCAGTTTAGGCTTGGCCCTTTAATTTTAAGGTGGTGATAATAATGATTATGGATGTTGATAGTAACTAGATCTCTCTTATGGATTAACCTTGAAAAAGTTTGTTTCTATTGCTTTTTGATTATGATCACGATTATGATTAGTTGATTGTTGTTGTTTCTGTTTCATAATGTATGAGATGACCTTTAATTTGATTCTATTCTGGAAGATGGAGAGAGAGAGAGAGAGAGAGGTGAAAGGTAATCGTGATGAAAGAGGAAGATCAATGATGATAAGAAGAGGAGGGAAAGGTAAGTAAAATGTTATACTAAAAGTGGGAGAGGTTAATATTAGGGTAAGAATGGTAATCATATATATTAATGTAATAATAAGATGATGATGATGATGATGAGGATGAGGATGAGGATGGAGAGTGAGAGAGGAAATGATAACCTACTGATGTATAATATTAGTAAATTGTGGTTCTAATGAGTTCGATGGGTGAAAAGAAAGGTTTGTATAAAGAGATTTCGAGAAAAGTTTTTTTTCGAACTTTAGTTTTTACAATAGTTCGAAGAGGAAATGATAATATTAATGGTCGATAATTTCTTCGCACTATTAATAGCGCTCTCATGTTCGGTCAACTGGAAAGGTCAATTGGCCGACAATGGTCAATACATTATTGTCATTAAATTGACCAAATGGACATTATCATTCTGAGAGATTCCCAAAAGATTAACTCGGAAAAGTTAATCTAAAAATAGTCAAATGTGCAAATCTAATATTTGCCGACGTTGATTAACAATTAATTATCACTAATCAACTAAAATAAACAAAGTAATTAACAAAGGGTTAAGATTATCTTCCTTGAGCCATTGCTGATTAGCTTAATAATAAGACAAACAGATTGTCAATTTGGCTCTTTTTCTAATGCATTGATTAGAGATAATTAACGAACTTAAAATCAATGAAAGATCAACAATTAACTTTAATTGGTTTCATTGGAAACAGTAAATTGTTTCAATGTAACACTAATGATGGAAATGATTCTATTGTTATCTCATGTAAACCATAAGAGATTTTCAATTGGAGGCTCTTGTTTCTTGAGAAAAAGAAACTATTAGAATAGAAAAAAGTTATTTCCTTTGAAAACGGAAATGGTGTCCACCTATTTTACTCTCTCTGTGTAAATTAAGTTGCTTGTCTTCCGGTTGTTTTCATCTTCATCTTCTCAAAGTAACTTTACTCTGTCTTAAGAATCAGTTGACTAAGGAAACAGAAACTGATCACACCCATTGGATTCTGATATTGTTCAAGATGATGAACATAAGGATAGAATTAATTTCTAATTGTGAGAATTAATTATTTCCATTGATATACAATCAAGAAAGAATCAAATAAATTACAACGGAACAACGGTTTTCCATTAATTTCCACAGGTAATCAAATTGATAGAGAATAATAGAGAAAGTTAATTGTTATGAAGAAATTGTTTTCTTTAATTGTTATATATGATATAAGTTGCGGAGAATCGTTTAAATTGTTTGAAAATTTATATAAACATTGTTGGTTTGAGGGTGAAGAGAAAATAATTAATTGTTGCTCGATAATTGTGTTGGTTTCATCGTTGGAGTTAATTTTGGTTTGAAGGATTAATTATTCGATGAGATGTTCAGTTGATTCTCTGAGTTTCTCCTTCATTTCTAACCTCATGATTAGATTGTTAATTGGTTTCAATTGAATCATTAGGCGAGTTGATTGTTGATTAAATGGTCAACATTAAGTTTTCTTTTGTTTCTCCTTTTAATTGTTGTTCTTGTTGGCGGATTAATTGCAACTTCCTTTTCCATCTCATGGGTTCGGCCTTTTCGACTTTCACTTATTGGGTGGAGATTGAAGATCATAATGATGACCCAGTTAATGAAATTTTCTTTCTCTTCGTAGGTTAACAATTAATCTCCATGGTCACGATTAAGTAAATTGTTGTAAGTTAACATATGATTATCTTTCTCTCTCTCTCACTCTCTATGGTTTTCAATTGTTGAGCCAAGTTTAAGGTGTAATATGATCGTGACAATGATAAGTGATGAATGAAAATAAGAGGATAAGATGATATCGTAAGGAGATGATGATGATGAAAACAATGATGAGATGATAAGATTAATATAAATTATGGGTGAATAAGAAATAATATCAATTAGTTTGGGGAATTACATTAATTTGATTTGATTTCATTTGTATATTAGATTTGACTAATTTTTAAGGTAATATGGTTGGTTTAAATTGTTGGGAAGCATTTTAAACATTGGTAAGTAGTTAACAATTTAGGCTGATTAAGAATAGACTTTTGTTGAAATTTGTTTTAGATCAACAAATTTGCTGCGAAAATTATAAATTAATTTGGTTTTATATTCATCAGCAATTAGACTATTATTTGTGGTGATTTGGCTTGATAGTCTTTCATGTTAATATGTATAAATATCATTTAAAGTCAAAGGAGCAATTAAATTAAGGTAAATTCAATTCATTTGGCAATTTGTTGATTAGTTAACGATGATAACAGGTAGTGGATTAAAATGCCAAAAGTTGATTTAGCTTTGGATCAACATTGTGATCAGATTAAGGACCAGAATCTTTGAAATGGGAATGATTGACACTGAACGAAGATTCAATTAAAGACTATGAAAGTTGGTGATTAAATTAATTGTTCGATGATAACTTTGATTTGCAGACATTGAAAGTGATTAGAATTCAGGATTAAATGTCATCTCTGTCTTTGAATCTTTTTCTTGACTGAACTTTTTGAGTCTTTTGAAATGTAAAATGTTGTAAATCAGTTAAAATCCATCAGGATGATATTAATTGTGGTCAATTCTATGCCTAAATTGTTCATTGTTGTTGGAATAAAATGCTTCCAGTGCTCCTTTAAGTACGATATCGGGCAAAGATGATGGAGATGATCCTTCTAATCCATCATCATCGTCTGGACTATTTAATAGATCATTTGAAAATGCAATCATTGACAGGGGTCTTATTTGGTTCCATTGAGAGTTTGATTTAGTTTCCACTTGAGATAAGCTAAGGAATTGGAAAATATTGGGTTGGGTCGATTCGTTTCTTATTAGTTGTTGAAGATAATTTTCCAATTGGCTTCTTCTCTCTTCAATAACGGTATTACTTAGATTTCTCATCATCTTTTTCGGTGGAAACTTGGGTGTGGAACAAATTTTCTTCATCTCCTTGTGTAATTGATAAAAATCGTTGTATCTTTTTTCAATCCTATTCCAACATCCATCATGGTAAACCTCAATACGATAAACAGTATACAATTGTCCAGTTGGTGATCGCCGATTCTCATGACAAGGAATAAATAATTTAACCATTTTTTCATAAATAAACAAAAAGCCAAGTTAGTGGATCGTAAAAACTAAAAATCTATTGAAAGATATAAACAAAAAAGATTCAAATTAACAAAGAGAATCAAAATTTACAATAATCCAAAGTGATGAGACTTACAGATGAATAAAAAAATTCCCAATGGTCAAGAATTGGGAGAAAATTAAAATAACAACAATGACAGTTAAATTACATCACTAAACTTTAGGTACATTGAACTACTTCCTTGTTAATTGATTTGGAAATCAACTAATGGCAGCCACAAATTAAAGCAAAAACAATTGAACAATTGAAAGAATCAAAAAGCTAAATCAATAAATCACTTGAGGAAAAAATCAAAACAAACACATGAGATTTTGGAGAAGAAAAAAGTGTCGCCATCTAGCGAATAGAAAACAAACTAAATTCGAGGTAAAATTTTTTCTCTTCAGATTTTCAATTCTAATTCAATTGTTGGTCATTAACTTTCTTTATTGTTAAATTTCATTCCATTAATTAGACGAGTTTATAATGTTTTAATCACAATTTAGATTTAAAATACGAGAAACAATTACGTTGGATTGTTGGAGAGTTAATTGTCAACCGTTTGTCCTTTTCTGTAGTGATAATGAACAGGAAAAAATTTAGAATTCAATTAGAAAATTTTCTTATGTTATAATAAGAGAATTAAATTTGTGATCATAATGATTTAACTAACCGATAGCGATGAATATTTGATGAGCTTAATTGCTGGTGAAAAGGGATAATGTTTACGTTTTGATTTTCTCAATTTACTTTGAGATAATTGAGAATCTAAAGTTTCCAAATTATCTCCATGAACATTGAATGAACTTTTCATCTCATCGTATTCACCAAGATCCATTTCAAGAAGTTCAATTGAAATTATTCTTATCTTGGGTTGGGTAAATTCATTCATCTCATGGTCAGTTAATCGTTTGATTGTTATTTCCGCTTTAGGGACAATCGCTGTTGGATCAAGTGGACACTTTGCTTCAACCTTTTGCCCTGAATTTAAATACGATCTAGATGATAGCAAGAAAGGAAAATACAAAATTCAATGAGATCAATTCTCAAACAATTAACCTACAATTTACTTTACCTCATCATTTTAAGTTCTTAACATACAATTGAACAATCACTTTAAACATTAAACTTAAATTGTTACAAACTAGAAAATCTCGGAGACACAAAATTAGAGTAAACAATTTTCGCAAAAAATAAAACTCATCTCATTGTCGAAATCTAATGGTGACATCTACCAATAGAAAAACGAATTAAAATTGGAGTAGAATTTTTTTTTCTTTTGTAACAACAGTTTAATTTTGGTGCTTAAAATTTAGAAAAATTCAACGCACGAGAAAATTTTTTTTACAATAGATGGTTACTTTCATTGAGAAAATCAGCTGATGAACTCGAAGTTATATCTCCTATTGGAATGTTCTTAATCGTCTCGATAAGCCCATCGACCGTTTCTTGTAAAACTTGATTCGTGACTTCAGATGCATCGGGAAGAGATTGTCGAAAAGTTTCCAGAACTGTAATTGGTACACTATTCATTAGAACTGTTAATGTTTCATTGATCATGGTTGTAATTGAATTCATTGAATTAACATCAATTTTACCAAGCAAATTGTCTGTTATTATATTGATAATCGCATTGACAATGTCTTTCAATAGTACGAAAATTATTTCAACAATATTTACTCGTTGAGTTTCATGTATAATTGTAGAGGCTTTGCCTGGAACACTATTCTTTAGGTAAGTTGGTGTTTCGCTGATTATAATTGGCACTGAATCCAGGAAAATAATTGTCAACAAGAATAAAGTACAACTTGTTGCTCGATGAAAGTTCATTGCTCAATCAGATAATCTTTTACCCTGGTCACTTATTCAAATGTGAGTTAATTGTAAGTAATTGTCTTTTTTTTTACAATGATTTTTGATTTATATCATTTCGTCCAATGTCAACTCTATTATGTAATGTCATTGATAATCTCTATTGAATAAATTGTGGTACAAAATGTGTTTTATCATATTATTCATATGATAATTCAAAGGTGACATTGAAAAAACATGTTCAGTTCTGAATGAAATTATTTTTATCATTGGTTTTATAAATTCATTCATCTCATGGTCAGTTAATCGTTTAATCGTATTCGTTATCCTGGTGAAATTTTTTCCATTCAACATTTTTGATCGTGAAGATTATTTTCTCCTCTAATTGACCAAACTTTTATTAGAAAACAATTGATTTGATTTTTAATTAAAATTTCGATCATTTAATTAAGTTTTATTGATCATTTTAAACACTTTGGAATCAGTAAATAGTAACAATTTATAATCATTATTATTGCACAAAATTTGATAATAATTGAAAGTCTTAATTGTAATGTTTAATTGTTTTTGTTATTCAATTGACAAATGAAGAGGAAAGAAACAATTGTGATTAAATTAACAATTTAAACTATATACTAAATTTGAACTGAACAATTTGTTTTGGACAATTAGTAAATTTCAAAGGATCAATTTCAATTGATTAGTTAACGATTTGATTGTTTTCACAATTTAAAGTTAGTAACATCATTTTTGTCTTATCATTGGTAATTAATAATATTTTTATTAGTCCATATTAATTAGGATTAAGCAATTAAGCTGATTGGATTGCATTTGTTTTTTATTTTGATTGTGAAGAGATGATTATATGAGAGAGAGAGAGAGGGGGAGATTATCGTTGATGATGATCAGCTGATTTCGATAAAATTTTTCTTTTATTCCCAATCTTGCATTTACCTGAAATGAATTAAGATTAAGAATCAATTAGAGTTAATTATTAGATTACTAGAGTTTAATTGACTTACATTTTCTTTAGTAATTAAGTTGATCGCTTGCCCCTCATGGCTGAAAAGGGTCGACTTCGTTTAAGTCCATTGGGATCATTGAGATTAGCGAGACTGACCCATGGAAGGTCAGCAATCAATGAGCCGAAAATTTGTCTACTGGTCAATCCTGTTGATTGTTGCTGATGATTAAGTTGATTGCTGTTAATTCTTGAGTCCATTTTTTTACCCCTCATTCCGGTGAAAGCAGCTTTCTTCCGGTAACCATCATTAAATGAATTAATTCCTGGATAATAATAATGATAAACTGGTAATTCTGATTCCTTTCGACCTCGTAATGGGATAAACTTCCGTTTTCCGGGCTGGTCAAAAACCGAATCAATTAGATTATTATTATTATCCTCTGATGATGAGAGATAATTATTTCCTCTATTTCCATATAAATCATCATACAAATTGGAGTTACTTGTTGACGATGATGATGATCCTGTTAATTGTGATGATGATGATCTTGGATTATCCAACAGGTAACTTAATCCATCGACAATCCTTTGTTTACCATTATCATCTGTCTTAATCTCATGAGATGTTAACTTCAACAATTAGTAAAGAAAAAGTTAATTAAGATGATTAGTTTCAATTTCTTTTACTAGATGGCAATTGATTAGTTTTAATTGTTTACAATTGAATGAAACAATTTACCTGATGATCAAATGAAGGTTCAACTGAATCAGCAGCCCAAATTAAAGGCCATATAATTAAGATGATAAAAATTGATCCACAATTAAAAGCCATTTAATTGTCGGTTTTTAATTTAATTCTTAATCCTGTAAATATAATCAATATTTAAATTTTGGTTAATTGTTGTTGTTGAAATAATCAAAATGAGTTTCATTTTGATAAGAAACTAATAAGTTGATTAAATCTGAATACAAGATTAACTTTAGCAACAATTAGTTGATTGTTTACTTTTAATCAACGGCAATATGATCATACTATTCAAATTAAACAGCTAATTAGTATCATCACTTTAATTGACAATCAATGACAATAGGAAATAATCAACTAATTAAATTAACTCTAAAATCTGTAACAATGTAAATTTTTCAGTAGACAAAAGTAATTAAAGTTAATTGTTAATTGACGAGAAAATAATTATCAATGTGATTAATAATCACCAAGACTAAATTGATTTGATTAGTTTTTATTATCATCATTCAGATGATTACAGTTTAAATTGTCCATTAAAATGATCACAATCAAGTTGATTGTTGTGCTTCATCACGAACAGGTAATTAAACAAAATTAACAATGAGGTAAATTAAATTAGCCAATTGATTAGCATTTGAATTTTGTTCAAACAATACAAATGACACACGATAAAAATTAATTTAAAAATCATAATCATAAACAATTAACAATTTAAAGTAAAAAAAAAGTGAAAGTTAATCAATCATATTAAATCATTTCTATTCAATTAAATGTGATTAGATCAATACAATTTTCCAGGGTTAAATTAAGTTTAATTGTTAAACTTTTTCATCTTCTAATTATTCATAAACATGTTCAATCAATTCAAGAAGATTAATTTTGATTAAAAACAAAATTCTGGTTAATTAATAATCTTCATGGTTAATCAACCAATTAATCATTATAATCAACATGGAAATCAAATGTTGATCATTTTTGTTACTATTTAATCAGTTGAGAACAAGGGAAGACCTTGGAATTAGAAAGCAAACTAATCCATCACAATTTAGAGCAATTTAGTTACGTAAACGCGGGAGCTTTGGAATATAATTTACAATTAGAACATTTTCATCTGAGCGTTGGTGGTTCAGTGGTAGAATGCTCGCCTGCCACGCGGGCGGCCCGGGTTCGATTCCCGGCCAACGCAAATTTTTGCACTCGAATCAATTTTTTTCTTCTTCCTGTTATGTAAACACAATTATCTTCAACTGTTGATCTCTTTGCTCACTCTGATTCTATTAATGTCTTCAATTGCTTTTCCATACGATTGTTTTTACTAATCCTTCGAACTCAAAGTCTAACTGTAACTTGATTCGAATTTTCTAGTTGATGATTCATATATTTAGCGACAATAGTTCTTTTCTCTAGTCCCTTTTTCGTCTTTTTTTCGTAAATTTTATTGTTCATAAAATCAGAATGGAACTTGATATTAATTCAATATTCGACTGAGTTATTTCGAGGCTGAACTTTTTCTTTCTTCATAGACTCGAACTGGCCATTATATGGAACCAATTTACATGAGAATAAAGAAAATGTTTCAAAATGATTAAGATAATAAAGTGAGTGAAACTTTAATCAGGCTAAAAGCAAACTGATTATTTTCGAGTAATTAAGAGGGATAAGTCTAATTAGTGAGAAAATATCCTGAACCGTTATAATTGTTACGTCTAAAAGGATAAGATAAACTAATTGTTACAAGTTTCACTCTTCAAATAGAAAAAGAGAGAAACAAAATAAACAATCGAAAACCTTGAACAAAGTGAAACGAGACTCAAATCAGCTAATCCATCATAATTAACTCAATTTAATTACTTTCAGTGATTATGTTTTACTGTTTCACTTTGCTTGTAATTCATTTCCTTCATCTGAGCGTTGGTGGTTCAGTGGTAGAATGCTCGCCTGCCACGCGGGCGGCCCGGGTTCGATTCCCGGCCAACGCAAACTTTTTTGTCCACCGGACCAAAAATTTTCGAATTTCAATCCGAATGTTGAAAATTTTTTGTTCCACCATAAATAAGAGAATTTCAAAGCTGCAAAATATTAGAATTCAAATGAAACCTTACCCTGCATAAACTTTTCAATCTCTTTTGTTTCTTCGAACTGTCATCCTTTCCCCTTTCTCTAAATTCGAAGTATTATCGGAATTAATATCATGTTCTCGATTATGATGAATATAAATTTGGAATTCATGTTAATCAGAGAGAAAGAGAAAATGTAAACGAAAGAAAATTAAAAAGGTTCAACTTTTTTCTTACTCACGAATTGACAGAATTAACAAATGATTCTAATGTTCAATTTTCTCATGTATTTACACTTCGACGATGGAAACATGTTCATTAAAAGTTCTGATTAAAATTGATCTAAATAACTGTTTGATGTTTCTCTCTCTCTCTCTCTCTTTGTCATCATCATGTTTACAGAAGATAAATAACATCTCCAACTTATTGAATAATCGATGAACTTTTCCATTAGAAAATATTATTTTCCTTGCTCGTTTCGAACTTTTTTATTAGAACCATTGGTTATATTTGTCGACATTTTCGATAGGAAATTTTTTCTTCTCCAAATTGTTGAACAATTTAACTCAATCAGGGAGAAAATAATTCACTCACTCCGTGAATGTTCAGGAATAAATTGTAATCCAAATGAGCACAAATTGTTGGATTAAATTGTAACTATTTTTCATTTCTAATCATCAATTTAAATAAATTAACATGAAATTCAAACAGCATATCATTGAGCTGATTGCTGATTGTTTTCCTTAGCTTAAAGCAAAATTGATTAATCAGATTGTTGCCAGTTAAATCAATTGATCAGGAACCATGATGATGATATAACTCTGACTGATTAACTTAGATAATATTTCATGATAACAATCAATATTTTCTGAATACCTTTGGTGACTCCAGAGACAATTGGAAACATTTTCACAATCCAAATTTACAGAATTTATCATTTATTATACAAATAGAATTGAAAATAGAAACTCTCAATTTTATCAGAACATTTTTCCATACAATAGATTCACTGAATCCATGAGAATGTCTCATTTTATAATAAGTTTAATCATGACAATTAACTGGCAGAAACAAAAACTCTTGAAATATTGAAAAGATTGTCAAAGGAAATTGATAATTAAAACCATTTCCTTTTCCTTTTTGTATCACAAAATTTCACATGTTTGTCAATGTTAATTGTTGTCATTAACTATTAGTTTCCTTATTGCTCAATTACTTACAATTGCAATCACTTAATTGTTAATAGTAACACCGTTTTACCTTTTGATTGTACTTGTAACGATTCCCATGATAGCAATAATAGTTAATTGTTATCGATCAAAGATTTAACAATCTCCTTTTCTTAACTTTACCATTTCAATCAGTTGATTACTAAAAACTTTATTATCACAATTAACCTGATAATAGATTTGATATCAGCTACTATTATACATTGTGTGATTTACCGTTGGCCCAAACAATCAATTTCCAGAATTTGATAAAGTTAATCAAATGAATTCGCGACTAAAATTAATCGTGATTAAATAGGATTTCATTAATCACAATAACTCAAGTATTGACAAGTTCAGCAAAGTATTCAAATAAATTGTGGACAATTTTAATTGCTTTTACAATATTTTAGATTAGCTGGTTGATCTAGATGGTTTCAATTTGATCTAATTGTAACAATTTACTTTTAGTTTCACTTGCTTACTATTATTAATGATACAAAACAAATGTAAGAAAATTGCTCGAAACTAATTTTCGAACTCAATTAAGTGTCTTCGTAAATTAATATGTTGATCAAAGGTTGAGTCGATTACGAAAACAGTTTCGAACTAAAGTTTTTGTTTTTAAGAAGTTCGAAAGCTACTTATTAGTTATGATTAGCTGGATGTTCATGTGATGGTGTGATTTGTATTAATAACTGATTCAATTAACACTCAGGGTAAAAGGTAACATGATCAGTTAATCAGTTTGAGAAATCAAATTTATCATCAAGTTTAATCTTGATGATGCTTGTTGATGAAAAAACAAGAAAAGGTGAGACAGAAAATTGTCCACTGGTCAAGACAATCAACTTAATCTCTTGGGAGGTAAATGAAATTGAAAAACAAAACCCAAACTCGAGATGAAAACAAAAAAAGTTTCGAGTTCTAATAACATCATTAAATGTTTACCTTTAGAAATTTTTGTCACCATGTAATCTGATTGAACTTTTTTATTTTTCCTTCAACTTTTCAAGTATATATGAATTCTCATCATCATGATGAGCTACTTATCATCAACATCTATCAAGGTTAAAGTTGAAACAGAAAAGGTAATGATAATTAAGTAAGAAACGAAAGAAGAAAAGTTGAAAGTAATTACCCTTTAATTCAGTTCGTTAAGAAAAGTTCTGGATAAGATTAATATGTGATTAAATAAATTGTCCATTTGATAATAGTAATTGTTGACATACTCATCGAGATGATTAAAGTTCATAGACTATAATTCAGGGTAAGTTAATCAATTAATAATCTTAATGATGATAAAAGTTGATAATGTTAATCTAAACTGAATGATAATCAAATTTAATGTCAGGTTAAAGTAACATGATAATTTCATGAGCATTCAAAATGTGAATACAAATTATTCATCTAATTTACTGTTTCTTTATTCAACTATCTCTATTTTCACTTGAATTTCATGGTGATGATTATGGTGAGAATCTGAATGTTCATAACTTGTCTAACAATTGACATTACATTGTTGATAACGGCTCCATTATCATGGAGACTATGATGATGCTTCAAGTTTTTTCCTCGTTATTTTCTTCCATCAGAACTTATCTAGAGTCCAATCTCCTCGATTTACCCTGAATCACAGGTTCTATTAATAATTAATATCAATAAATCAATTCAGTTCAACTACTTTTCATTATAAACCAATGATAGTTTTGAGTAACTCATATGACACCTAAAGGTGATTGATTTCCTGATCTATTCAGTTGATTATTGCATTGACACAGACTGACAATCAAGTGATTCTAATGATTTCCTAATGATTAACTTTCAAATTACAATAAGAAAGTTCATTTC